GTTCTGTGAATGGGGTCCCGCCAGCTTTCGCACTGTGAGAAAGCAACGCATAACAGCGCAGGCAAATTCGCGACCGTAAACCTCATCGGGGACGGGCTGGCAGTGCATTCAATCTCGCCAAACAGCGTGCCATACTGCGTTTGCTGGTTCACAACAGCATCCCTGGCGTTGCGGATTTCCCTCCGAGACGCAGTGAAAGGCTCGCGTTGGGATCCATCCAAAAGCGCCGACAATGCAGTGGCAGACATATGAGGGCATTTTCGCCTCAAAGACTCTATCCTGCGATATTTTGCACCCTTATCGCACATGGTGCGACGGCCGCGCTAGCTGCGCAGCGAACGACGCAGCTTTGAGCCCAAATGGCAGCTGCGATGCACACATGCTGGGCAGCATTGCGTGGGCACGTCTGCAGCGGTGCCCGCGCGTTTGGCAGCAGTTGGCAGAGGCTCTGTAAAACGCAATCTGACAGTGCAGGCGCCCCTGCATGAGATAAATTCCCGTTGCGCGCGCCAAGGGCAACTGATGCGCCAAATGCGCAGTTCATATGCTTGCACGCGCCCGAACATATTTCTACGTCAGATCTGACGCCTTATATCGCCAACGTGCCCCCCCCCCCCCCCCCCCCCCCCTCATGCGCAGCGCGCATCCCGTGCGACAACACCTGCAAGCAAGACTGCCCGTTTCCCGCTTTCGGGGGCATCAATATGGCCCCAAGATGGCCAAAGAAGGCACCAGGAGGGGGCCGATGCCCCCAAGGAGGCCAGAGCGCCCACGAGCGCCCCAATAACACCATAAGAAACGATTTTGAGGGCCTGGGGGAGGGCACAAATATAGGACCCCACCCCCTTCTTTTGACAGATAACCTCCTAGATTGCCCCACGAGGCCCTCCATGGATCCCAGGAGGGCCCCAAGAGAGCCCCAAGAGGGCCCCAAGAGCCACCCTCCCCCCCACCCCAGACCCTCCACAAGAGCTCCAAGAGGACCACCCCCATCTCCCTGACTATATGTGTCCCTTCTTGCCATTTCCCGTCAGCCCTCATGGGCAGGTCTTCTGAATGGGTTGGCGGGGTTATGCGAAGCGTGAAGACTGCATGCTCATATGTGCCATGTCGGCATTCGTATGTAGAGATGCATAAACGCGTATATATATACATATATACACAGTCGCAGCTGTGCGTGCATATACACGACATACACACCCAAGCCTTCAATGAACGCAACCAGAAAGCGAACGTTAAACGTGAAAGTGCAACCCTCGGGGGTGGCATTAAAGCGCCACCCGCGCGCGCTGCGATCCCTGCAAGTTGGTCGGGCAGGGCGTGTATAAGGCAAGCGAAATTTGCACGCCGAGTGCACGGGCGCTGAGTTGCAAGGGAGATTGCATAAGCTGTGCGAGCTTCCTTTTGCAATGGATGTCTGCGTCGGTCCCTCGTGGCGGTCGAACCCCTTCCCAGAACTACACATGATGCGAGCGGCTAATAGGGCACCCCATCTTTCCGCACGCTGTGCAATAGCAACCTGCCAATCATTAGCATCAGTGCCAAAACTTGGGTGCAACGGCTCACGCATCAAGCATTCTTCTTGGATGTTCAAAGCTTGCTTGCCTCCTGGTACGTGTCCCTGGCAAACACGAGCTGCTTCTTCTCGTTGTAGCCGTTGTGTTTGGACCACGTGGGCGCCCTGCCGTACCACATAGAAGCGCACGCGTTCATAGACCTCTGGCAGTCGTCTGGTCCAAACAACACCTTGAAAGCAACGGCTTTAGCAGCGCTATAGCCTGCGGGCCTCCTCAGAGCGGGCGGCCCGACGGGCTTCTTCGCCGCTCCAGGCGCCGCAGCACCTGCAGGCTTCTTGGAAACCGCCGTCTCCTTCTTTTTTATCGGCCTTGCCCTTCAAGGCATTGAAAGCCTGCTCCTCGTAAGATTCCTGCTCCACCCGACCGCCATCGTCAGCAGCCAGTGCTGCTTCGGCGCCGCCGTGGGCAGACGCTGCCCCAACAGCGGGTGCCGCCGCCGCCTCGGGCTTGACGAGGGGTGCGGCCGCGGGCTCACCTGCGCTGTCTTGCGCAGCAGGCGTATGCGGAACGGTCTTGGGGGGAGGCCTGAACGACGTAGTCGGAACGTGGTGCGGCGCCGATTTGCCCGTCGACATCCCTGCCGCGTAGGCGTCATGTATATGCATCGCCATCTGCTCGAAGGAGCACTGCCCACGATTGCCCCCGCGAGTGGCTTGGATCCCGTGAGTGCCCCAGGGGCCAGCCCGTTCCTGAGTCAACAACTTGTTGTCTGAACGCAAGGGCACATGCCTCCCAAGTGTGATGTACTGGTCGATGACCTTTTCCACGGGCGGGTCGTCGTCGTCATAAGCTGCCTTGAAAACCGACGGTGGCAAAGTCATGGGGCTCTCGGGATATGCAAGGATGCTTGACCTTGTGAACGGCCCTGCCGTATCCTTCATATACTGAACGACGTCGCGGAACGTGTTGTAAATGCTATGGTAATTCGGCCAGTTCTTGTTGTGCGAGTGCTCGCAGTACATCAAGATAGCAACAACCCACTTGATGCATTTATCGTGCCCTGGCTGCGTAAGCCCCAGGCGGTGCAATCGATTCGAGATCACGTTGATCTTTTTGGTTTCGGATGCCCTGTAGTCCTCGAAAACTGCCCAATCTGTTGCAGACAGGTAATTGTATAAATGGGCCAACGATTGTTCGGTAGAATCTGACCCCTCTGGCACACCTGTGGATACGGCAACATTTGCGACCTTGCAGCCAACTGCACTCATCACCTCATCCTTGACATGTTTTACAGCGCACATCTGCTCAAGAAGGTCAGTGAGGACAATCGCATCTTGAGCTGACAAGCTTGGCAAGCTCGAAATCCGAGCGCATAGTGATGCAGACAACTTCTGCTGCAAATCGGGGTTGTCGCGCTTGGCGATCAAGGGAGAAAAATCCGGAATGTCACGCTTGACGTCATCAATGCGTGCCATGAGTGCAGTATGGTGCAGTCGGGAATAACGACAACCAGATGCAGCACTCGCAGCCCCCAGGGCTTGAACAAATCATGGCAGCGCACCGGCGACAACGAATGACCACATGCGCACCCGCGCAGGCATCAATGTGGGAATGGCTTGCCAAGCTGGGCTGATCAGGACAGGCTGGAGGGGAGTGGCAATATCATGCGCATGCTTAGCAACGAGATACACTGAGCAAAGATGAGAGGGAGGATGATGCGAGCGCACCGCCTGCAGAGAGTCAGCACGGAAGAGGGTATCGTCCACCGACGTGTAGTCTGGAACTCGCACTGGCCAAACGCCAGCATGGTGAAGAGCGAAGGCACTCACCTCGTCGTCGCCGTCGTCGTCGTCATCGTCACCGTCGTCGTCGTTGTCGTCGCCGTCGTCGCATCGAGCGACGTCGTCGCTCGATGCGACGACGGAAATTCCGTATATTCTTTTTTTTCAAATTGCTCGTCGTCGTCAACGTCGTCGTCGTCGTACTCGTCGTCGTCGTCGTCGTTGGCCTCGTCTCGCTGGTGGTCGTACGATGCCTAGTCGGAGGAGACGTAGCCGTCGGTGAGGAGACGCAGGTGACGCAGGCGGCGGCCACTCGGCGGCGGCGAGTATGGCCTGTCCGCAGGGCCCCGCTGGCACGGTGGGGCCCAGCCCGCGGCGATCACGGCTGGTCGCTGCCCTGCTTTAGCTGCTGCTGGTGGTGCAGCGGCTGCTGCTCCTGCCGCTGCTGGTGGCGGTCCTGCTTTAGCTGCTGCTGGTGGTGCAGCTCCTGCCGCTGCTGGTGGCGGTCCTGCTCTAGCTGCTGCAGCTCCTGCCGCTACTGGTGGCGGTCCTGCGTTAGCGGCTGCTGCTGCCGCCTTGGCCGCCGCCTTGGCCGCCGCCTTGGCTGCCGCCTGAGCCGCCTTGGCTTGCAACGCATTCGGGGCCAGGTTCGTCTTCGCCGCGTGTTCGAGCCGAGCCGCCGTCGCCCTCATCTGGTTTGCAGCGCGCGAGGCGTCCCGCTTGAACCCCCTGGCGGCCTCTCTGATGGCGGAGTTCTCGGCCCTCAGCGCCGCGACCTGCGCCGCGAGTCTCTGCTCGCGAAGGGTTTGCTTAGGCGGCATCGGCACAGTATATGCATGTGTTGGCGTAAGCGCTGGTGTAGACCTCGGCCTAGGCGCTGGCCTAGGCGCTAAGCCAAAATGGCTACGGAAGGGGGGGGGCGAGGGTGGCGCAGGGGAGCGCGGGGAAGCCAATGGGGGCACACAGGGAACAATGATGCGTAGGAGATTGCGTAGATGCATATCTGGTGGACGCAACTCTGCAGGGTGCAAATCTGCATGGGGATGCCGTGGGGCGCGATCGACCAGAAAGCGAATCTCAACATGCCTGCAACTGCACTCCGTGCAACAATGCCCTCTCATGCTGCGGACTCCGCATGACATCACACGATATGGTATGAATGGGTGTGCATATCAAATGAAATCCCAACCAACGTAGCAAGCATGGTCGTTCCGCGCTCCTCTCACGCAGCAGGGAGAAGGGATACCTTGTACGCTCCGCTGCGGGCCAGCACGAGTCAGCAGAAAGCTGGCCGCAGCGGCAAGGCCCAGTCAGGAGGCCGATGCGACGCCTAGGCAGCGCCTCGGTGGCGTCTGACCGAGCAAGAGTTGTGCTCTTATGCCCCCTCGGGGACCCGAAGGCTATGCGCACGATAAAGTGTTATCACTCTTTTGCGCGCGGTGGACGATCACCCAAAAGTGTTATAACACTTTTGGGTGATGGAAACGCGCGCCCAAAACTGTTATAGCACTTTTGCGCGCAGACGTCCATCACCCAAAAGTGTTATAACACTTTTAGGCGTTGCACCCATCGCTCGACGATGTGTGATATCACTCGGCTGGTGGCTGCCGCGGCTCGCCCACAGCTGCGGCGCGGGCCCCCTCGCCAGGCGGGCCAAGTGCGCAAGCTCTCAGAACTTCAGACGCCCCGAAGTCGATCCTACCTAATCGGGTGCCTGCCCTTGCTCTGGCCCTTGGTCTTCGTGATGCTGTCGAACTCGGTGCGAGCCGCCTCCAAGAGCGCCTCGCACGCGCTCCAGTCTCCCGCCTCGTACGCCTCGAAGACCTCCACGGCGCGCTCGTACCAGTAGCCCGTGCCACTCGCGATCTCCCCGAGCTTCGTGCCCTGGATGATCAGCTCGATCGCTTGCCAGTTGCTCTGCGCCCAATGGTCGGCCATCCTCATCACTCTCGAGCTCCACCCGCTCCGCGCCTGCTCCCCGTCGTTGTTGTAGCGGTGGTCGGGCGCGGCCCCGATGGGGGCTGGCGGCGGCGGCTTGGGGGCTGGTGGCGGCCCAGGCGGCTGCCTGGGACCCGCCTTGGCCGCTGGAGAGGCCGTCTTGGCCGCTGTAGCGGCTGCGCCGTCGGGGTCCGCGATGGCGGCGACCGTGGCGGCAGCGCTGCCGACGATGTCGAAGGTGCCTCTGTCGTCGTCGTCGTCGCATCGAGCACTGTGAAAAAAAAAGGGAATCTGGAAATTCCTTTTTTTCAAACTGCTCGTCGTCGTCGTCGACGACGTCGACGTCGTCTGCCACGCCTGACTTCTCCTCGATCACCTTCTCGAGGAACTCCGCGTAGGGCATGATGTCCAGGAACGCCAGAACGTCATCGCACTGCGCCGCGCAGAGCGAGGTCGGCCACTCCTTCGGGTCCCCCTCGCCGCTGGCGTAGACGGCGCCGTCGGGGTAGCTCAGGATGCACTTGACGTCCAGCGTGTTCGTCACCAGCCACTTGGACGTCTTCGAGGCCTCGTCATGCACGTAGAGAAGGAACAGCTCGCTGGCGTTGGCCGCCCCTGCATCCGCTGCAGGCTCCTGCCGCCAGATCGGCGAGTTGTTCAGGTGGCCGATCTTATACCAGACGCCCTGCAGGCACTGCGTCAGCTCGTCGTACTCTGCCTCCTGGCTGCCATCCAGCCGCCGCACTGCAAGCGAGTCGACGAACCTCGTCTGGCGCTCGCCCTTCCTGGCCTCCACCATGCGGAGCTGCGACTGGCAGTCGATGGTCTGGCGAAGGACATCGATCTTGGGCCGCTTGGCCGCGGGGCCCTCGACCACGGGCTCGCCCTCTGGAGGGCGGCCACAAAACATGAAAAACTCCGGCCTTTTGGGGTCCAGTCCAAGGGTGTTTTCGGAGGGGCCGAACGTGGCGGAGGGCTGCGCCAGTGCGACCCCTGGGGGGGCATGGAGTCCCCAGGGCCAGAACTAGCATAGGTCCTCGTTCAAGAAAGCGTGGTCATCGTCGTTGTCGTCGTCGTCGTCGTCTTCGCCTGGAGCTGGTTGAAAAAGGCGAGTGCCGTGTCCGCCTGTGAATTCCGTTTTGTTTTCAAATTGTTCGTCGTCGTCGTCGGCGTTGTCGCCGTCGTCGCTGTCGTCGGCGTCGTTGTCGTCGTCGTCGGCGTCGTCGTCGTCGTAGCCATTCTGGCTCGAGCCATGTTGGCTCAAGGCCCAAACTTGACCCCTCAAGTTTGAGACTTGCGCCAAAACTGCTTGTCGTCGTCGTCACCGTCGTCGTCGTCGCCGCCTCGCCGTCGTCGTCGCCGTCGTCGTCGTCGCCGTCGTCGTCGTCGTCGTCGTCGCATCGAGCACTTTGGAAAAAAAAGGAAATCTGGAAATTCCTTTTTTTTTCAAGCTGCTCGTCGTCGTCGTCGTCATCGTCGTCGTCGTCGCGCTCGTCGTCGTCGTCGTCGTCGCCGTCGTCATCGTCACCGTCGTCGTCGTCGTCGTCGTCGTCGTCGTCGTCGGCGGCGCCAGTGCAGCGGGAGCTGCAGCATCCTGCGGCGGCGGGGGGCCGCTGAAGATGCTCCTCGCCGTCGACGACATGGGCGGCGGCGCGGCGGCGTCGCCGAGGCAGCGAAGCCCCGCACGCAAAGGCCGTCTGCAGCACAAACGGCTCCGCGCGACGAGGCGGCAGATGCAGGCAACATTCAACAACGTCGAACACGCAGTGGGAACGTGCATGCATGAATCGACCTGCACGGCGATGCAGCCATGAATGCGAGCACAACCGATGAAGACAACAACGCATGCAGATGCGACCGCATTCAAGACGAATGCGATATGTGGCGCAGGAGCTGTCTGCACAACATCGGTCAAAACGCATCGGGACACAATCTACAACCCGTCACTGCCCTACTGCCGTGCGCCCTCACCCTGCTCGCCTGCGCTATCAAGCGCACCTGCACTACTGTCACTGCGTGCACCCGCGTCTGGGTCCGCGGCCCTCTTGTACACCCTCTTGGTCATCAGCATGTCCACGGTTATGCCATGTGCGCGCACGAACTGCACAGCATTACAAATGCTATCATCACTAGCATTAATCCAAACGCCTTCCGTGCTTTTCCAGCGTTTCAACATCTGCACAGTGCACTCCTTGAACTCCGACCCATCATCACGTACAACAGCAGGCAAGCGGACCTCGACAGGGATTGGAGGACCATCCTTCTGCTCCTTGATCTCCGTCTGTGATCGCCTTTTGGGCTTCCTCTTGGGGCTGCTCCGCTGAGCAAACAACTGTCGCTTGGGCTTCCCGCCATGATGCTCGGGCCCGTCGGCATGCACCCCCCTCGCAGCAAGAAGTGCTTTGTGCCCAGGCGTGTTGGCCAGAGACGGCCTGCTCGTCGACTTCGGACATGCCTCGTCCGAGTGCTGCAGGAGCGCTTTGATCAAACTGAAATCGTAAGGATGCATCAGGGCATATGTGGCGCCACTGCACGTCTGGACCTTCCTAGGGGTCCATATGCACTCCTCGATTGTGACCTCCAGCCGCCATCCGACAGACAGTTTGGCAAACATGTGATCGCACAATGTCGGGCTATCGAGTGCTGGGCTCGACGCAAGACACCTGCGGATAACAGAATCAATGAAACGCAAATGCAATCGGAAAGTGGCGACGGGGGGAAGTGCAATCAACCGCATTCGGCGAGGGGTCGGATAAGACGGCGGTGACGGCACCTGCGATTCCCCGAGACATGGGAAGGGGGGCGTGAGCGGGAGAGAGAGGGAGAGAGCGAGAGAGATTCGATTTGACACGTCGCATCGCAGATGCTAGGGACCAGCCGAACAGGGGGGAAGTCACTAGAGCACCCAACCCCCAAGGGGAGTGGCAGCAAAATGCTGCCACCCACGAGGGGCGGGTGGGGGGGGGAAGGGCGCCCCAGCAACTAACCCCCCGCATCGCCAGTCGAAGCGTCATGCCAGACCAGACCTTGGTGGAGGGCGAGGGCGAGAGAGAGAGAGAGATGGGGACAAAAACTACAAACATTGCGGTGAATTGCGCAAGCGAGACGTGTATGACTACATGGGTGCATTATATTGCGCTGTCCGCGAATGGTCAGGATCCTGTGCCCAGCACGCGCCATTGTCGCGAGACATAATGACATCAAGCCTTATAGCGACGGCGTCGTGCGCCTCACAACAGCCGCCGCCCGCCCGAATGGGCGGAGCAAGATGCGATACAAATGCATAAAACGTGTCGCGAGACATGCTGGAAGCCGCATGCCTGGAAATGCGGCGCCCGCAAGGGGAGCGCGCGCGGGGCGAGCGCCCGCGCGCGCGCCTACGTGCGCTGGCGCGCAAGGGAACCATACCCATTGCATGTGCGATCACTTATTGGCCCTTTTCTTTGGCTCTGCTTTGCCACCTTTCTGGCCATCAGGGTTCTCCTCTCGCTTGATCTTCCTAGCATCCCGCAGAGGTGCATGCTGCGTCTCGGCCTTGTAAACGAGCGGCTTCTCAAACTGCTGAATAACTCTCGTGTTTTTGTACGCCTTGAAAGTAATGTGAACCGTGGTCTGCTGAACGAGGGCAACGTTCGCCTGGTCCTCTTTGTCTGTCTCGCGAACCCACCAGTACGGAACATAGAACACATCTTTGCCGTCCATCTTCTTCTGGTCGGTCGCCCTCGCGGGCGGCGACACGTAGAGTACGTGACTCCCGCACTTGATCTGGGCTGCGCCCTGGGAGTCATCTGGCCTGACCTTGTTCAAATCAGAGAACGGTGCAAGTACGAGCTTACCCTTTTCGATCTTCTCCGCAGCAACGGCGACGTTGGGTTGCAGGCCGTACTGCGAGGTCGCGCCAGGTGCCGCCCTGGCATTCGATTCGAACTCCTTCAGCGCTCTGAACACCGTGCAGCGCGCTTCATCCATCTTCATGCTGGCATGCGCTGTCGCGCACTTGCTGGTGGAAGTTGGCACAGCATATGGGACTTTACCATTCTACGAGCCCCAATCCTTGATGAACTGTGCAAGGGGGACCTTCACGTCGAAGGTCGGCTCTTCAAAAGCAGTCAACTGCCCCATCGTAACCTCGCTGGAATTGAAATTCGCAATCTTGTAGAGGCCAGCCGCTGGCCCCACGACGCGCTCGAAAACAGCGCCGTCTTTGGTGAAGCCCTTGTTGGCCAAGATGCGCTCTGGATTGCGCAGGTCGGCGTCTGTCATCACGATCGTGGCGTTGGAGCTCTCTGCTCCGGGCGCCCCTTCGATAAGGGTCAGGGCCTTCCGCTTGCCGTCTGGGTCAACAATGGTGGTGTAGTCGCCAGTCATGGCGGTGGCCTCAGATACGAACATACCGATAATCTCCTGCTGGTCCTTACGAGCGGCCCTCTCTGGCCCGACCTTGCCCTTCTGCACCAAGTGCAACAAAGACCGCGTAAAGAACTGCCCGATCAACTCGTCCTGCTGCTCTAAGTCGATTTTCCCAGCGGTGCGAAGATCGGTCGCGATGCGATAGGCTGTTCCGAGATCCCCGTCGAGGGATACGGTCTTGGCCTTGACAGCCTTCCCTTTCAGCTTGTCAATGTCACTGGGCAGCAACAATTTTGCTACGCCGTCAGAAACCTTATCGGACGCCAGGTTCGATAGAAGCGCCGCGACGCGGATCCAAGTGCACGGCTCGAGGTCACTAAGGTGCAGGCCAACAACTGCAGTAATGAAATCCTCGCCGAGTTTCTTGTTCGCGCCGTACATATTGCCAAAACGGTCCATGAACCGCACCAGGGGCACGCCCGACCCGCCGCCGCAGTGCGTAGCAAGCTTGCCAATCTTATCGATGTAGCCCTGCGTGCAGAAATGCAGCCCTCTGAATGCCGTGCGCGGCGAAGGCGCACCACGCCCTTCGCAGCGCACAGAAGGATGCAGACCAAACGGTATACGTGTACATATGCAATGACATGGTATATGTACATGTATACATGCATGTACAAGTACACGTGCATACATACATGCATGTATGTGTATGAATATACATGTCTATCACACACATACAAAAGCCATGCGTAAGTCGATTGGCTTTTGTTTTACATGTGCGCGTAAGTATATACACTCCTATAAGCGTATGTGTAAACATGTATATATATGTATACGTGCGTAGTTACATAAAACAACGATGCGAATTTAATGCTGCGGGTGCGCGCGCCTG